TCCCTTATTTCTGTGCGTGACATGCAGTGAGAAACCCATGTGATGTTTTTAAGCCTCAGCATTCGTACCAGTAAGACAAGGGTAACGTGGGCTGCTGTGATGAGGTCGCACTTGTGAAAGTTGTCAGACTCAAAACACAGTCACTTATATCACCCCAAGAAAAATAAATAAAACCAAGAGACTGTGAAGCAAGGGTCATGTGCATGTCTTGGTTACAAGAGCAGATCACAGGAGACTTTGCTGGAACCACAGCCTCTCTCAAAGAGTACTATGGGAGCATCTGCCCCATAATGGCCTGATCTGCCCGGCAGATGAGACCTTGTCTATGATGTCATTGTTTACTTCCAGGAAAAGGCAGCCTGGCCTGGCCTTGCCTTTCAGTTTAGCCCAGTTCCACGACAGTGTACTGAGTGTGGTGGCCTGGAGTGTGGGCTTCAGATTTGAATTGTGACACAGCTGTTTTCTGAGTCTGTGAACTTAAGCTATTCACCTTCCTCAGATTTGGTGTCCAGTGTTTCCCTCACAGGGTAACACATGCAGAAACTTGTATCATGCCCTTTATGGAAGGACGTGATGGCATATCAGAGAGAGACATATCAGCCCAGGGTAGAACAGGTCATGGAGGCAGATGTTCCCACAGATGAACTCTTCGAACAAGGTTGTGGTCCTGGCAGGGTCTCATGATCTGTTCTTATTACCAGGGTAGATATGCACATGGCCCTCCCATCATAGTGTCTGGGCTTTATTTACTTTTCGGGGGCTGATATAAACAATTGCATTTCACATACCTTCTGAGTAATTCTTTTAGTCAAGGATTAGTGATTCAAAACAGTGTTTGTCATCCTCATCTTTATCGTTTGAAGATCTCCCCGCCATGGTCTCAGAGCACATGTTTATCATGTAAAAGACCCTGGGTTTAATCCCTAGCAGCACCAGGAAAGAAAGGGAAGAGGGGGAGAGATGGGAAGGAGGGGGAGAGAGGAGAGAGAGAGAGAGAGAGAGAGAGAGAGAGAGAGAGAGAGAGAGAGAAGAGCATCCCTTTAGCTCAACCTCAGCTTTATACAGGAACCGCCTGTGACCTGTTCTGGCATGCACATCACAGATTTGCATGTCCCTGGCTGTTCCCTATTAAGTTCTTTTCGAGTAGAGTGTCTGCTGTTTAGGTTGACCCACAAAAAGGACTCAGTACAGATTGCTATATAACAGGAAGTTGCATCTGTATAAGCCACTGATAGTCATTCTTTCATTCACATATGCACAGTTTTACCCTGTCACCTGTGCCTGTAAGGTATCAGACACCAGAGACACCAGAGCAAGGTCTGGTCTCATGCCTGTGCTAAGCACGTGTAGGAGGCAGACAAGTAAACAAGTGGTTACTGTGCTCTGGAATAAATGCTGGCAAGACCGGAGCAGCTGTGGTCAGAGCACGGACAGACGGCATGGTGTCGGCCATCATGATGGGGTGAGACTGATGGAGACCCATGGTCCCCAGGACTTGGGACCAACCTCAGAGTCGAGTCAAGGCCTTCAGCCCTTGTCCTGAACGCCACGAGGAGCAACTGAAACCCTCAGGTAGTGGAGAGACCTGGTTCTGCCTAGAGTGGGAAGTTCACTCTAGCATCAGAAGACAGAAGTTAGGGAATTCGGGCTCCTGGTGAGAGATAACGAGGTTCCACCAAGCCAGTTAGGGTCCCAATAAGGTGGGGCTGTGGTCTACCATAGTGCTGCAGTGGCTGAGCTGACAGTTTATAGTCATAATTTTGGATATCAAGAATCCTTGAAGGGACTTTAATACATTTCTTAAAAACTGCAGTCTCATGACAGGTCATCAAAATTATTTTTAAAAAATGACACCTCAGGGGCTGGAGAGATGGCTCAGCAGTTAAGAGCACTGGCTGCTCTTGCAGAGGACCTGGGTCCAGTTCCCAGTACCTACGTGGTGACTAACAACCATCCATTCAAATTCCAGGTGATCTGACGTCCTCTTCTGGTCTCCATGGGCATTGCACAATACAGGTGTAGTTACATACGTGCAGGCAATACACTCATACATATAAAATAAAAATAAATAAAAAACACCTCAGCTAAGACTCTCTAGAATATCATTTGTCTGACTGGCTTCTCCCAAGATGAAAGTTTTGTTTAAATGCCTTGTGTTTCCAGATTGTGCCCATCAGCTTCTGTCATGGAAGGTGGAGGGGTTTGGGAGGGCTCACCTCTGCCCCATGGGGCCACTGGTAGTTAACAGCTGCTGAGAGAGGGTGTGGGCATTGGTTCATCACTCATGCGTCAGTAAATACCCCTCACTTTCCCCCTTGACATCTTCATGCAGGCAACCCTAATTAAACTCACAGCATATCTCTCTCTCTCTCTCTCTCTCTCTCTCTCTCTCTCTCACACACACACACACACATATACACGTACATACATGCGCACAGACATACGACATGAAAGTAGGACTTGTTGGAAGAGGAAGGGGTTTAGCAGGAGTGAGGGACACTAGTGGGTCATTATGATCGAAATACATCATATACATGGCAAGAAATTGTCAAAGAATAGATAAAAATGCCCTGTGCTATATTTCAGAGATGTGTGGCCTTGTATCACCATAGCTCACATCTGGTGAGAGCGCTGAGGACATCCAGAGTGAGTGGCAGGCCTGGCTGTGTCACCCCATCCATTAGGGGTAAACGGCATGCTGCTATGTTTATGTTGAGGAATTCCCGCTGGAGCAGAAGCACTGTGTCACTCCCGTTTCCTAACTGGATTCCTGACACTGTCACTACATCTTGTTCTGGCAATCACATCGTGTTTTCAGAAGTGAATGTTGAGGGAGCCAGGAATTCCCTTACATCAGATCTTTCCTTTCTCTTAGGGAATTCAGATAGCATCTGAGTAGCGCCTTGATTGCCCTGGAGTAGGGAAGCCCTCAAAGTCTTCTAGGAACCCTGTCTGTTTGTTGAGTTACTTTGTTTGTTTGTTTGTTTTGTGTGTGTGTTTACAATATGTATTTTTTGTTGAATTTTTTTGTGTTTTCTACAACACATCTTAATCATATTTAGACCCCTCCCTATCTGTACCCCATACCCCCCACCACACTGGATCCCATGCATTTTAAAAGCCATGTTTCATTGTATACAGCAGACTCTTCACCTGACATTTATTCCTTGGTGACCGAGCTCTGTCCTTCAAAGGAGCTCAATGTGCTGACCCTGTCTTCTGTGGCAACTCTGGTCTAGCCTCATGCAGCCCTAGCTTTTTCCGTGTAGGTCAGGCTGGCCTTGAATTCTCTGTGAAGCTGGGATCCAGGCTTGTACCATGCCCTGCTCTGCACACCTGGTTTTGAAGCATTGTCTGGTTAAGCATATCACTCTTCTCTTTTGATCTTCTTGTGTTTTGACCTCCTTGTTTCTCTTATCAGGAAGAATTTATCTTAACAGAATATGTTCTAAGAAGGTTGCAGTAGGCCCATAGTAGCTTGATCTCCGAATTCATTTGGTTTGGGATATTTCCATGTTTCAAGCCCTTCTCACTCAGTTCTTCAGAGGCTGTGCTCAGAGTTACTCAAGGTATTTAGAGTGGTTCCATGTGCCAAGCCCATGGAAGTTTCCAGAATCATAGGAGTAGGCTTGAGTGAAAGAAAAACATGCTATGGGAATTAGTCTACCAGGGTTCCCTGACAGAAAGACAAATCAATAAATCCAAGCAGAGAGGATCCTGGCTGTGAGAATATTCTGTGTGCATTTTATTAGCGAGAGAATACTTCAAGACTTGTGTTATGGAGCATCTTTGGGGTATGTTCAGTTTACAGAAGGCATGGTGGGTGAAGTTTGGGAAAGAAAGAAGAATATTGGGAACCCAAGTCAGGTGATGCACAGAATGATATGGTTTCTCCCAATGCAGGAGTAGGGGGAGGACTTCAGCATCCAATGAGCCCCTCACCTCTGTTAGGGACAGAGGCGGGCACTTTGCAGACATCACTTAAATCTTCTAAAAAGTCCCCCAGGCCCGTTTCACAGACAGAGGCTGCAGTGATTAAGCGATTCTTCAATGTCATGAAGTTGGCAGGCGATGGGACTTGGGTTCAAACCCGTGTCTGGCTTCAGAGCCCGGGAGGCTGTCCTCTTCACATCAGGGTTGCTGGATCAGGAGCAGCTCTGTGTGGTGATCAGACTGGCTGTCTTCCAAGGTCAGTCAAGGTCTCTTTCAACACTGAGATTCTAGGTCACAGCCCAGAAGCTTAGAGCACACTGCCCTCACCTATTTATCCGAAGACCAGCTGCTGAAACTTGTTTCTGAAGACTTGTCACTCATCGTGAGGAAGGATGGGTGATTCAGGTGTGACGGTGTCTAAGATTTCAGCTGATCAGGACGACTAAGCTCCTCAGCTGTGGTAGGGGTCTGAGAGCACTCCGGGCAGATGGTGTGTGAGCGGACGGAGCAGTGGTGAGGCTTTATAGTGTTGTTAGGAACTTTATGATGCGGCACGATTGTTTCATGTAGCCTCATAAAACAAGTTGGAGGGCATTACATCACTCCCTCTGCCTTCGGACAGAGACCAGACCTCCTTCGGTGCCTGAAAGACTCCCTGCTGGTCCACTTGGGCTAGCCCACTTCTCCGAACAGGATGGCTCTGTAATGAGCTGTAATGGCAGAGAAGATGAGGCGGGAAGAACCCATCAGCTTCGGTTGCTTCCTGGGAAAGACAAACGGCTCACATCAGAGAAGAGTGCCAAAACTCTCAGAAACAGGCCGTTTAGCTTGGCCAGTGAATGAATAAGCCAGTTACGCATCTCCTGGGTGACTGGCAGAAGCTTTGTCGTCATAGCAACTCTCCCACCGGGCAAGCTCTGCTTACACAGGTTCTCAGCCAGTGTCCCACCCCAAGCTACCTGAGGAGGAGGAGCTGGGCCTGGTCTGTTCCTTATTTATAACACGCTCTGTGTGAGGGGGAGGGATCAACAGGGTTGACTCCCTTGCAGGCTGCCTGCCCTAGTTACATCCACAAATGTCTCAGAAGCAGCCTACTGGCTGCACCCTTCTCCTCACATTCCTGGGTCTGCCTGGGCTGATTGGTGCAGTTACCAGAACGTACTACATCGGGATTGTGGAAGAATACTGGAACTATGTTCCTCAAGGGAAGGACGTTATCACTGGGAAGAGTTTCTCAGAAGACAAGTGAGTGAACTTGGGGTCTTCACAGACTCCCAGGTTTGACTACTTTTTGACTCTGAGGGAGGGAGTTTGTGTTCCTTGAGTGGTTATGATGGGTATGAACTGAGCCTCACCGAAAGCTCGGCTTCACTTCTGCTTGAGGAGACCTAGCCTGGGTAGGTCTGTGACTTGTGAGAGAAATTCCTAGCTCCAGACATTTGTTGCACCATCTGTTACCCCTGAGTGTGAAAAGAACAGCCAGGTATTTTGAATAGCCCCCCTATTCCCGCTGCTTCTAGGGGGTTCTAGACAATGCTAAGAAGAATAAAGGGCAAACTTGTGAAACCTTGAGAACTTTCAAGAGCTCTTAAGTATAAAAAAAAATACACCCAGTTGTCTTAGCCTTATTTTTAGAATAAGCAAACTGATCAGAGATAACTAGGCTGTATGTGGCCCTGCTTTTCTCTTGTGATGCAATATTTAAATGGAGAGGTTGCCATAGAAGTGGCTGGTTTTTGAAGAGCTTCCTTGAGTCTTCTTAGAAATGACTTTCTCTGGTGAGCAGCTTGTTCCAGCCCTGGTTCTGTGTGTCCTGAAAGGCCATGTCCTCTGAGAGCTCATGACAGGGTTGGGGGAGGTGGTGTCGGAGTGTCTCATGACTCTGACTTCTAGTTTTTGTGAGACTAGCTTTCAAGGCTCACGGCCTCAGATGCGGTGCTGGCTCCTAGGTTTCCCTCTGAAGTCACTTGCTGGCTTGGAAGCTGTGATGTGTGTTTTCAGCATTGTGATTCTCAAGACATCGCCGACCTGTCAACCGCTGTCGAGTTATTTAACCCCTACTTCTTCCTTGATGCGCACAGCCTATTACATTCAACATCCACATTTGGTTCCTTAAAGATGAGGCTATTTGCTCAAGTTCAGGCATGGCACGGGGTCTACCAGTAAGACCTTCAGAGCTGGGCCTCCTAGCTTGGAGGGAAACCTGAGATCCAACTGGCTCAGTATTCAACTTCCTGCCTTTCTAACAATACAATGGTGTCAGTCATGTCTTGTTTTCTAAAAAATGATGAGGCCCCTGCCAATCTGGAGGCCAAAGACTTTTCCTTAAGCTTTGTATTGGGAAGTTTAATGCCTGTAGGATTATTTCTAAAGAAAGTGCTTGGTACATTTCAATTCCCCATCTTCAGTCCGTCATGGTGGTCTTTATTGTGATAAATAGATAGGAAATTTAAAAGTATCCTGTCTGCCAGTGGTCAGCTCTGAAACCAGGGTTTTACTGCCCGAGAGAGGGAGCTGCTGGAAAATGACCAGCGTGAGCAGTTTTAGGGCGCTGGTATGCTTGGAATCCTACACGGAACCTATCAAGTAGTCATCAACCTAAAGATGACATGATCAGTAGAGCTGTGGGCCTTTGTTCTGATGCAGGACTTATTCCCATTTCACCAACCAGGTCAGAGACTCTGAGGTTGAACACCTCTAGAATTTACTGGGCAAATGGCCTTACCACACACCTGGATCCCAGGGCCTATGTGTCCTCTTGCTGTGCAACCTATTTCTTAGAAAAGTTGATCCTTTGCTACTGAGTTAAACCCAGCTTTGATGGAAGACACAGATCTCAGTATTAACTTTCTATAGAAGTCTTAATTCTTATCAAGGGTGCATTTAATTTCACCCATCACTCCTCAGAGAAAAGATTGAAAATGATCATCAATGGTCAGTAGCCAAACTGACTTTCTGGGTTTATTAAACAAAACCCCAAGTACCTTAAATACTCAGACTCCAGTGCTGATTCCAGAAAGGTGGGGACAGGAAGAGCACATGGTCTCCCTGTGGACCCCTTCACCCTGAAGAAGGGGCTTTGAATAAAGGGAAGCAGGGGTGAGGAGTCAGGGTAAAAACTACAATAGACAAGTTGGAAACTGTTCCTTCCCATAGCATCAGATCAGAGCGAGGGCCTCACACACACTCTGTTCTGTATGAGTGGGTGTCTGGCTTTGGAAGCCGCTGGCACATGAGGATGTCACCCAGAGGATATCAAGGGTCTCCATGCATTTCCTTTTGCAGGATAGCTTTGTAGGACTGATGGCTGGCTTTTAAAAGGGGAGCATGAGTGGGTGTCCAGAACTTGCTGGAAGGCTGAGTGGCTATGGCAGGCAGCTCAGGGCAAGCCCCTCCCCGCCTCCCCCAGGTGTGTAGTTGCAGTTGACTGCTGACTTTGCTTGTGGTCTCTAGAGCATGTACTCCAGCTGCATGTGAAGACGTTGCGGTGGATGACCGTAGATGGGCCCAGTATGTGTGCTCCAGATGGACTCACACCCTGTGAGGATGGAGGGGAAGGCCACGTGTGTTGAACAACCCCCATCTTGTAAGAGTTCTGTCAGTGCCAATATCCCATGAAGGACAGAGCAGAATACCAGGCACTTGGACTTTCTAAAGCACAAATAAGCCAGTTTATCAGGATGGCTCGGCTCCATCCTGGCAGTCTATTGGTTTGGAGGCTCAGAGCAATGCCTGGCATACAGAGAACCCAGAGTGCCCAGTGCCCAGTGTTCCACCAGAGCAGAGAGACCTTGAATAGGATCTAGAGACCCCAACTTGTTGTGGGGTCTTGAATGTGTGTTATCTCTGTGAATATCACTTTTCTTAATGAGGGTGTTGAAATGCAATTCCTAAAGTCACTTGAGCATCAGATGTGATTTTTGGAACTGAACGGGGGAAAAAAAATCCTACCTGATTTGCCAGTTCTAGAAAGAGTCTCACAGTGGCGAATGGAAATGGAGGAATGGTTTGCAAATGTTCAGTCCTGAAACTGAAGCAAAGAAGGACCTGGGAATGAGTGAGCCGCCTGTGTGACAATTTTTGAAATATTCTGTATTTTATTTTATAAAATATTTTTATTGATTCTATGAAAATTTCATACAAAGTATCTTGACCATATTCGGACCCTCTCCCCTATCTCCACCCAACCTACTACCCCTCTCCCCCCCGCTCAAACTTCATGCCTCTATTATTATTTTTCTTTTTTTAAAGGCCTATTGAGTCTAATTTGTGCTCCCCGAATGCTCTTGTGTGTGGTTTTCCCCCATCTTAAAAACTATCTCCAACTCTTCATTTCGTGTCTGTAAAATTTCCTGGTTTATTTCCTTCCAAACACCATTGATGTCTCCTCCACACTCGGATGAGATGCCCTCCTCTGAAGAAACACATCTGAAGTGCATCCTTATCTCCGATGCTGGAGGAAGAGCGCCCAGGACCCCGGGGGCCTGCACCGAGCTGATAGCCCCTTTCTCTACACAGAATCTTCTCGGGGCACTATTGCATGGGGGGCTGGACAAAGAGCCAGGCATTTGGACTCTTTAAACAAACCAAGTGGCAGTTCTGGTTGCTGTCTTCTTGAAGAAGAGAAGTTGGAAAGTGAAGACAATAGGAAAACAAGAGAGCAGGTGTTAAAATTCCAGTAATGCAGAAGCATCCAGATACCACAGCTCAGCAGCACGGAGCTCTCCTGTGCTCGGATGTAGAAGATGAGATGGGAAATAAATTGCAGCCGCAGCCACAGCAGCCAGATGGAGCACTTCGGCTTCCCAGGATGGTGCCTTTGATCAGTGTTCAAAAATGTAACTGAGAGTGTAATCATGATGTTCCCTAGACAATATAGGATTTCAGACGGGTGTTCTACTTAGAAATGTTTGCTCTTAAGTATGTATGCCCCTCCCTCCTCTCCAAGTGTAATGGGGACACTAGGCTCCTTTGATTTGCCTGTGAGATGGTGTCAGCATTTTGACCCATTCATGCCAGGCCTGCTGGAGCTCATAAAGTACTTAATTAAGGCATGACTGCGCTTCAGTGGTGAAGCCTGGTCTTTATGGATCTGAGTGGGTCACCTTAGTTAAAGCCACAGTTTTCACCGCAGACCTTATTAGGCAAGCGCCACCCACATAGCTTCTTCCTGGTGGAATTCAGGGGTTTCTGTGGTTGTTACCTCATGACCAAAATTCCCCTGAGCATGAGTGTGGCTGAGCTCTGTCAAAGCCCCAACTTTGAAGGGCCTACTTCAGAGAGTTAACCTAACCATCACCACATAGCCCAGCTGGTGGGACAGCACTGTGAGTACTCTCCAGCTGGAGGCTCTGTGATGGGTGTGTGGGAGAGACATAGTCACCTATCTGAAAGGAAGTCAATTCGGGGAAGCAGAAGGGTGACAGAGAGACTTCCACAAGCTCTGAAATAAATGGGAAGGATTCAATCTCAGTAGAGTTTGGTGTTAGACAAATAGTGGCTTTCAAGTCTCAACCCCATCTCATCAGCATCTCAGACTGTGGATTTGAACTGGAGGAAGGGTTCAGTGGGTAAAGATCTTGATGTGTAAGCATGAAGACCTGAGTTCAAAGTCCTAGACTCTATCTAAAGCCAGATGCATCCATCTGAATCTCAGGACTTCTGCTATGAGACAGAAAGTATAGCCAGGAGAATCCAGAGGCCAGCTAGCCTGGCGTTCACAGGGGCAAATAAGGGACCCTGTCTCCAACATGTGGACGGTGAGGACCAATTACTCCAGGTTGTCCTCCAACCGCCATACACATGCCGTATGCATGTACATGCCTATACGCACACATAAGCATACATATATATATATATATATATACACACACACATAAATACACAAGATTTTTTTAAAATCATGAAGGGCTTGGAGCAGGTGTTGTCCCTTACATCAATAACTGACTGGTTTTAACCACCAGAAGAGACTGGAATATACAGGTTAAATAAATTAGGATTTGGTATTTGCCTGAAAAGAAGTCCAGATGTGGGCAGCCCCATGTTGATGGACAGATGTGGGCAGCCTTACGTTGGTGGGCAGATGGCATGATGGGGCTTTAGTGGCTGTCTGTATTTTTGGTCCCACCATCCTTAGCACAGAGCTTCCTTCCTCATGATCACAAGATGGATTTGGGGACCCAGCGTGCATGTCTGTGTTTCGAGAAGGAGGAGGAGAATGGAGGAGGTGTGGGAGTGCAACCTCT